AAAGAGTCTTCTTTATTACACTTTTCCATAGCTATCTCCCAGCAGCAGTTAATTAAATATCAAAAAATTATCATTATTAATTGTTCATTTGCATTTCTATTGACTCAGGCAATATCGTTTTTGGCTACATTTCTTTTCACCTGAAGAGTGAAATGCAATGTGAAAATTATTCCAGTGGGCCCAAATGTACATTTGACATTTATGTACAGAGACTCTGCCAATGATTTCAATACATATGCAATATCTTAATTGAGATAACAAGTGATTATTCTTAACTACACAAAGGTAAATATAAACAGAGTCCTGATTGGCCGACTTCTCGCCCTTTCATAAGAGCTATTCTAGTTAGTCATAAAACAATTAACCCAAGAGTCAAGGTGAAACTTAACATATAAATGACTTGTATGTATATGCTAGTATGGCCGCAAAGTCTTGCACAATTTATGAAAAAATGTATTGCTGGAAGATGATCTAGAGTAGGGATGCTGACACATGCTTATATGATGCTTGGTCCTGCACCTGTTTTCCCAATGAGTAGGCACTAACTACCAGAATCCTACTTAACACAGCACTGAGACAAATTCTTCTGTAGTAAAACCTATTTTCTATCTGTCTACAGTGGTATTCCCAAAAGTGGATGGGCTGCATCCCCAGATATGGACAAGAAAATTCATTTGGACAAGGAAAAGATTTTGTTTGTAAATGTATATATTATTATAGTCATAGAATAGAATGTAGCCTAAAAATTATTTTCTGATAGATATGTACGGATCAGAGCAATGGAGCTGGAAAGAACTGAACCCGGATAGCATGAGTCCCTTTGTAATTCACCAGAAGTGGTTTGGATTTGATTTTAGGACATCGGTAGAATTCCACAAAGGGAAGATTACAGTAAGATGCGTGTAAGGCGGGCACTGAAAAAGGGGTGCAACACCAGCTCACTGGAACCTCTTTGGACCTGTTGTCTCCACCAACGACCAATCGCCCACACAAACGATCAACCTTGTCATGCCTCCTAAAACACCACGCTGACAAACTCACTGTTTCTGAAGTAAGTGCTGGTGCTGCTGCTGCTGCTGCTGCCTGTAGGTTTCAATGGTGTGCTGCGGAAGGTACTGCATGAGTTCCAGGGACTCTTTGATCTTCAACAGCATCTCGTAAGTCTCACGGCCTCTCACCTGTGTAAGTGAGCAGAACAGAAACGGGAAAAGGAGAAGCTGTAGAAATGTTAAAAGTACAGTCATCCTTCATTATTTGTCGATTTCACACTTGCAAATCTGCCTACTTGCGAATATTTACTTGAAACAGGAAAATCAACGCTCTTGGCACCCTTGTGGTCACTCAGACATGTGCAGAGTTATGAAACTTCGAGTTACCTGTGCGAAGTCCCAGCTGAGGCTGAACAAAGAAATGCTCTGCTTTCTTGCTTCAGCTTTCGTGCTGTAAACAAGTGTCCTTTTCTAGGTCTATCTAGCGTCATACTTTTTTGCATTTTTTTTTTTTTTGTGCTTTCTGTTAGTGATTTTGTTGTTTAAAATGGCTCCTGGGTATGATGCCGAAGTACCGTGTAGCATTTCTAAGTGCAAGAAGGGCAAGCTATGCCTTATGGAGAGAATACATATAAGCTTCATTCAGGCCTAGGTTACAACGCCACTGGCCTTCAGGTCAACGTTAATGGACCAACAGTATGTTTAAATAAAGTTTTTAAAAGAGAATTTTTCAGGTTTGTATGAATCTGTTGATGAAATGTGATCATAAGGTCATAGAAACCCAATCTTATATTTCCCCTAAGAGCAATGATTTAGTAGTCGCTAATACACTAGTTTGTTTGCTTTTGTTTTTTTTTTTCAGCAAGTGTATAAAAAGAACTACCACAAAAGCATTAACATCACTTCTATCTCTGGATAGACAACAGTTTTTTTAGCTAGGATAAAATGTATTTTCTCTCTTTAAGAGAATCTCATGAAAGGTTTAAAAAGTGCAGGAGGGCCAGGACTAGGGTGAGGCAAGGCAGAGAGTGAATGCCTATTTAACTTATCCACCCTATGCACTTTACCTGCCTCACCCTAGTCTCCACCCTGAGTATAAGAGACAGAATTTGTAAGACTTCAGAAAAGAAGGAAAGGTCGTCTTTGTCTTTGGTTGAGTTGACTCCTACTCGTCGTCCCAGGCTGGGACCTCTTCTCTCAGAAGCGTTTCCTTACTCTCTCTCATCTCTATCACGGGTCCTTTGGTGTGCTCCCACAGCTCCATGCCTGCCTCTATTGCCGTACTCCTTTCCTCATCCTCTCTGTGTCCTCAGTAGAAAGCAAGCTGTTTGAACGTAAAGACTGGTGTCCTAACAAGCTCTGGAGTTGCAGGGTCTAGCACATTTGCCACTCAACAAAAACCAAATAATACCAACTAGAATTTCACCCTCCACATATACTTCACTTTGGTTAATTCTTCACTTAAGAAGTCACTCATTACAAGATATCTCCCCTTGATGAGGACAGATTTAAAATGATCTTTTCAAGGAGCTCCTCTCTTATTAGCTGTAAGCACACTATGTGTTTTGGAGTATTTAGTAAATCAAGGTAATGTTTTACTTAGAGGTCACAAGCCATATGCAATTTCCACGTGAGGTTGAACAAAGAGATACTCTGTATTCTTGCTTCAGCTCTCATGCTGTAAATAAGTGTCCTTTTCTAGGTCTATCTAATGTCAGACTTTTTTCCTAAGAAACAAGACACTGAGACTCAAGTAACTCACTGTCTGATTGGTCCACCGATAGTCTCTTTGGCAGAGCTTGAAGAAGGTGGGGAAAGACATGGCACACCCAGACCTGTTGAGTTGCTTTACCTTCAATCCCAGGGCACTAGCTCACAGATCTCTTGGGCCTGCTTGCCTTTATCTTTTGTCAGTTTAAATGGCATCAAGGTCTCTATTGGTCACCAAACCTTACTGCCTCTCTCGATGGCAAAGACCTAACCTTAGAAGAATTCAATGAACTGCAAACATAGACTAATAAAGTGACCTCATTAGTGACCTCAGGAGGGCAATGGAGGAGTGAAGGATCATCTTATTTAATAACTGGCCCAGCTTTCTGGCCATTCACTAATAACTGAGGATTGTGCCTTGCTTAGCTTTCTTGATAGCATTCCCTAAAATAGGTCACATTCAATTCTATATAATTGCTATATAAAAATTCCTTAGGAGGGGAGCTTTGCTTGGGTGAGTAGGTAAGGAGCACAGTTCACACCAGTAAAACTGCAAAGGAAAAAGATAATTGTCTGGCTTTTCAACAAAAAATTCTTCTTTTTCTCACTAGCCCCCGACCACTAGAATCGACTAAATGGGTCCCACCAGCAATTCTTAGGTTGAAATCATAACTGCCGATATGATGGTATCAGGAAGTGGGCCTTTGGGAGGTGATCCGTGTCATGGCGATGGAGCCCTCCTGAGTGAGATTAGAGCCCTTATAAAGAGACCCTAGAGAGCTCTCTAACCCTCTTTGTGCCATCTGAGGATACATGAAGACAATGGCTGTTTGCTACTTAGAAGAGGGTCCCTCACTAGACGCTGGCCTGGCGGGCATCTTAATCTCAGACTTCCAGCCTCCAGAGTGGTGAGAATTACATTCATGTCATTTATAAATCTATGGTACTTAGTTGTAACAGTCCCAACTGACTGAGACACTGCCTTTTAGCTATCGATAGCTGAAAGATGACCATATAATGAGAGCTCACTCAAGAAGGGGTGAAACGAAGCAGCCATAAACACCCGCGGCCAACTCACTGGTAAGTATAACAGCTCATCATCTGGGGATCTTCGTTTCTTGATGGATGTCATCTGGATGCCATGTGTGTTCTGACGAAAAGCTGGTAAAGGAGAGGCACAAGTGTCATCCTGGGAACATTTCTGAAGCAAGGATGCTAATTACACATATTTCACAATTAAATAGTAATAATATTTAATAACACATATTAAACAGATAGGAGCACCAGCAACTCCTGTGAGGTTACAGATGCTAGTCCTAAGAATCTATTTAATTGGAGATGATTGCTTCCACGTGAAGTGTCATCATAGCAATAACGAGGCTGGGGGGAGGGGGGATGAATAAGTGAATTAAAGAAATTTGGGATGCTGGGAAATGGCTTTTGGCTTAAGTAATGCTGCAGGAAACCTGTGCCTTGCTAGTGTGAGTCCGTGAAGAGTTATGAATGGGAGGAGGAGGATCAGACTTTGCATTTTTGTTTTCAGAACCGTCACCTTCTAAGGAGGGAGCATGAGGTGTAGAGGTTGCCTTGGTAACACTAAAATAGTGAATTAATGATTTACAAATTCCTAAGGATCCAGGGTCTAGAGATTATCTTTCTACCAAAAATTCAATTTGTTTTTATTCTTTCTGAAAGTCATTAGTTTGTAGGTAACTGGTGTGCTCAGGGAAGCGTTTAGGAACCATGCTGCCAGGAAGATGTGAGAGTAAAATTAGAATGGACTCATATAAACACACTCATATGTATAATGTTTCATCATTTTTATATGATTTTTGAGGAATGATTAGAGATTTTTTAAAAAGAGCCTAAAAGGAGAAGCATATTCAACTGAACAGCTAGAAGTTGACGGTGATATGAAACACCATATAATTTCTATTTATTCTGAGTACTGACAGGATGAAACCTTTTTCATAAAATAAGTCATACATAGTATGCGGGGCTTTGAAATACCTGCAGTGATATCAGGCCTGTGGGAAGTATCTTCTAAAATAAAATGCCCCCACCAGTTAGAAATGCATGTAGATAAGGATTTTCAGACTGTGTGACCTGGAGTTCCAGGACTAGAGAAATGTATCTCATAGCAAGGGATGGTTGGTGGATGATGGCCTACAGCCCACCCCAGTCCCCAGCCCCTTCAACTGGAGCAGCTCTGCTTTCATTTATTTTGCACTGTAGGTTCCTTGAAGTATTTCATTTTCAAAAGGCTGCTTAAAAAAGAGTTTTGTCTTAAAACAAACAAAAACAAAACAAAACAGACAGTGAGGTAGTTGAAGCCCCAAGACTTTACATCCATGTTAAATCAAGACTCAGTGAAACCCAGTTCTGCACCCACAGCCAGCTGTGCTTTGTGAAATACATCATAAATGTCACTGTTTCCAGAGACTAATCAGATGGGCGGATGCTGCTTTAGCCTCACGTTGATAACAGAAAGATAACTGACACCAGGAGGCTGAGATACTGGTTCTCAAACTTCAGCGGGCAGTAGGAACACCTGGCGGGCTTGCTAAGCATCAGTTGCTGGGTCTTACGAAGTTTCTGATAAAAGTCCAGAGCCTACGAATTCGCACTTCTCCCCAGTTTTCAGAGGATGCTGATGTTACCTGCAGGAAAGTCCCCTTCTGCCCCCGCACTAAGAACCCCTCACAACGACTGCTTGGAAAGTGGCAGTGCCCACCTGGAGTCCATTGCAGCACCTCCATCGACGCTCGGCTTATTCCCAGTGGCTTTGGGGCTGCACGTCATTAAAGCTCCCAGCTGTTATGGTGCAGCTTCTGCATTATCACCCATCCCCACCCTCAGAGACGCAGCCAACCCCACCCGTGGCTACTACATCTACTTACGGCGCTTCGTACCATCGCCGTTCTTTGAGCTGTCCGAAACCTGCTGCTTTCTGATGCTGTCTTCATCTGCCTTCCTGTCTCTTCCTGGGCAAGCACAGATCCGGGCCTCGAAACACCGTCGGCCCAGGACTTGCCCACTAAGAATTAGGGAAGATAAGAAGAAAAGGGTTAAACTCCAAAAAATTTTTAAGAGAGATTTTTGCTATAGGGCGTGTGCACTTGCTGGAGAGACAGAGAAACAGAAAGCAAGAAATCACTCCCTAGGAGGGGATGCCATGCCACAAGCTCTTCTCCCTTCTCCTCTTGAGATTTTGGGCACGCTTGTGCACACGTGTACACACACACACACACACACACACACACGCCCGGTGTGAGTTTCAAGCCATCAGGACGAGGACTCAAACCGTGATCTGCCATGCGGGGGGTCCAGCAACATAACCATTACGCCATCTGCTGGTCCCAAATTCAAAGAATTTTAAAGGTTCCTGAATTTGCCCCAGTCCCGTTTCCACAGCTGACCATCACTAGTAGCTCAGTCCCAGTGCTCTGAAGATGGACCCAAAAGCGCTTGGCAGAACACGAAAGTGCTTTCATGCCACAAGCAATATTAGTAAATAACATTCCATTTGTTCTGCAAAGAATCTCCAAGCCATGAACTGAACAGCTGCATTTAGCAACATATTTTGAAGGAAATTTGAGTTAAGCCAGTGTATGTCTCAGGATGAAATCCCCCCAGGCAGCCCAGACTTACTCAAAGAAACTGTGAAATGCCTGAGGGGCTGTAGAAAACAAACACTGTCTAATCAGAAACAATTCCAGTCAAATGTCAGGAATTCAGGTATGAAGGGACTTGCACACCTTCCCAGCTCTTGTTTTCTCCATACCTTTATCCACCCTCTTCTGTCTCCACTTTCTCAGATCTTTTATGTAAGTGTATGCAGCAAGGATTTAAAGCACAAAGGAAAAAAAAAAAATCAAGCATAGCTCTCTGCTGCACATGCAAAGTTAACGATAAAGCAGATACTAATTCACACTGCCCTCTACCCATGAGTTTTTGTACAATGTCAATTCTTACATATGCCACTTACTCTCTGGTTTCCAGAGTAACGATGATTAAAATTGGGCGGCGGTTCATCCCTCCAACACAACTGCTGTTACACATGAAATTGTACAAGACTGTCGTGAATTCAGTGCCAACCTGAGCACAGGAGGAAAAAAAAAAACCACTGTGTTAACAACAACGGTTTGCACTGATCTTCCTTTTTAGGTCTCCCCGCGGTTTAAAGAACTCCACTGCCAATGAAGCGATACGCTTCCTTCCAGCGAGGTGAACTCTGAAGCCCACTGTAGATCCCTCTGCCTCGCCTACTGGGAAGCTTAATGTTCGCAACATGGAACACAGTACGTGAACTAGGTCTTAACAGGTCTTTGATATTTGCCCTTGTTTATTTGCAAGTTGATCCATATAACCCAATTCAAAGAGGCTAGAACACAGACAGCTGACCAGCTGTGGAACCAGGGATACAGAAGACTAACTGTTGGGGACTTGAGCGTCCGAAGGATTTCGGTATTTAGGGAGGATCCTGGAATCAGTCTTCTGTGGCTAGGTTGATACTCACGACTGTACATGAGAATCAGTAACAAGTAAGAGCTAAAAAAACAAACAACAACAACAAAAAACCTCTGCCAGAAAGAGCAGCAATGCTCCAAGGATCTGTGCCCTTTGCGGATAAATAGTACAACATAGACTTGTACATACTGCTTTATAAATAGCACTCTGGATCCCCAAAGGAGAATTTTAAAGGCTCTGAAGCAGAGCCATGTTAACAGGTCCATTTAGTACATATTTAGAAGTTTTTAAGCAGAGGCACGCAGAGGAAAAGGAGAAAAGAAATACAAAAACGATGTTATATTTGACTATATGGACCAAGACAGTAAAAGATGCTGGGAATACTCCTCCCTCCCACCAAACTAATGTTGCCTAAAGTCTTCCTGTCTGCATGTATGTATATGCACGTGCCCACACAGTATCATGTACATATGTGTGTGGGCACGTGTGTATACATAGTTTGTTTGCTTGCTTGCTTTGTTTTTTACCTGGGGTGGCTCATAAGGTACCAGCACGCTCTGTCGTCCTGTGATGGGGTCTTCCACATATTGGGCATGGCTGTTCCCTTCTACTCGAATCAAATGACTAGGAGGGGCAATCTGTCCTGCAGAACAGAAAATGACAAAACGGTTAGTTCCTATGTCACACAGTAAAGAAAACTAAATGGAACTGCATGGACAGATTGTCTGTGAACTAAAGGAAACATCCATCCTTGAAAAGAAAAACCGATTCTGTTGCCGGATCTGTGATACATGAAGGTATTTCAACTTTTATGCAACAGAAAGGGGGAATACACATCTATATTTAAAGGAGCAGCCCCAAGTTGGGGACAAGAAAAGAGAAGCAAGTTTTATAAAGAACCTAGGTAAAGTTTTGCGTCTTACAAAATTGTGACATTTGGTGGAACTCCAAAAACAAGACGCTGCGTCAAGGACTGGGAGTCATCAAGTTGTTCTTCACTTTTAGTCATTCTATAAAAACAGCTTGTCAAAAGTTTAAAAGTAGGGACCAGCAAATGGCATAATGGGTACATCACTGGACTCCCACTTAGTTGACCGCAGTTCGAGGCCTGGACCCGGTGCCTTAAAATTCATTCCAGGTGCGTGTGCGTGCGTGCCCAAGATCCCAAGAGGAGAATGGAGGATGAGGATTGCGGCGTGGCCATCCCCCCTGGGGGGTGATTTCTTGCTTTCTGTCTCTCTGTCTCTGTCTCTCCAGCGAGCTCCCATGTCCTGTAGCAAAAATATCTCTAAAAACAATAAGTTTGCAAGTAAGTGAATCAAGATATTCTTCATAGCATTATTTATTATGCTCAAAACTAAAACTTAGTTGACCGCAGTTCGAGGCCTGGACCCGGTGCCTTAAAATTCATTCCAGGTGCGTGTGCGTGCGTGCCCAAGATCCCAAGAGGAGAATGGAGGATGAGGATTGCGGCGTGGCCATCCCCCCTGGGGGGTGATTTCTTGCTTTCTGTCTCTCTGTCTCTGTCTCTCCAGCGAGCTCCCATGTCCTGTAGCAAAAATATCTCTAAAAACAATAAGTTTGCAAGTAAGTGAATCAAGATATTCTTCATAGCATTATTTATTATGCTCAAAACTAAAAACAACATAAAAAAAGTAGTACATAAAAAAATGAGAAAACAAAAAATAGTATGTCATCTTAAGAGCACTCAGGCAGTCAGGAAAACTGGTATAGAGCCTATCTACATGGGATATTCCTTATGGTATGTTGTTAAGTGACACAGACACAAAGGTATGGACAGACTAAAATTAATCTGTAAAATCAGTTGTTATGTCAAGTGAGAAATCTGACTTCGTGTTCTTTGAAATTTCTATAAATTCTCTTTCTACCTTCATTAATTTTTCTTTACATTCTAGTATTCTAACTATACATTCTTTATTATTATTATTTATGCATTTAATCACTATACATCATTTAGATTGTAAGGAGACTTTACCCAGCACAATATATACCTCAGTCCAGCCCAGTTGTGAATGCTATACACGTCCTCATCAACAGATAATAAATCATATCTGTGTCCCACAAATGTCTTATCTATTTTTCCCCAAATTTCCTTTCCTACAAAAAAAAAATCCCACTCTTTGCACTTTGTCTCTACCTATTTACACATTCTATATATTCTATTAACATCTGCCAATTCTTAAATTATTAATGTTTTTCTATAAAACATCCTAACTTCCCATTATTCTTGCATCCTTATGATTCTTTGGTGATTCTCATGCTTGCTCCTGTTTTCCTTTCCACATTTCTTTTTGTATTTTTTCCCTTTTTTGGAGAGGTTTTTGCTATAGGGCGCAGGTGCTCACCAGACAGACAGAGAAAGGCAGAAAGACAAAAATTAGAAATCCCCCCCCCCATGGGGGGATGTCCATGCCACAATTCCTTCTCCTCCATTCTCCTCTTGGGATCTTGGGCACACACGCACATGCGCCCGGCGTGAGTTTAAGCCACCGGGTCCGGAACTCGAACCGCGGTCGACTGCGTGGGAGTCAGCAACATAGCCATTACACTAACTGCTGGTCCCTCCTTTCCACTTTTCAATATTCTTTCTTTTTTTAAAAAAATTATTTATTCATTCATTATTTTAATTTGACCAGAGTGAGACACACACAGAAAGAAAGGGAAAGTGAGAAAGCAAGCCATCAGGCCTGGGACTTGAAGCATGATCAGCCATGTGAAAGTGTCTAGTGCCTTAACCACCATGCCACCTGCTGGCTCCATCAGTACTTTTTATTTAGTCTCCCTCTATAGATCTATAGCACCAATTCTAAGGGAACCCTTGAGACTAGTGACCCCTGCTGCAGAGTTGCTGGATCTGAGGCTCAGAAGATGAGGTATGGCTTATCCATGAATACTGAGCTGTCAGGGGCCCTCAGGACACCTGCACCCTTGACTCTTGATTCTTCATTCTACTGTCCACCTATCTCATATTCCAGATCTTCTACTTACTCCTCTAACATTATTATTTGCATTCTCATTTTTTCCTTCTTTCTCCCTTTCCACTTGTATTTTTTCATTATTTCATGCTCCTTGTATGCTCTCTTTTCACTTTTCCAGATCTCATTAAGCCTAGACTTAAAAATCTTTCTGGGCAAGGCACTAAAGCTAAGGCTGTCATAGCCTGATCCCAGCAGAATAACTATCATGTTGTTCTCCTTACAACCTCTCATTTAAAAAGGCTAGGGGGAAAGAAGGGGAAGGAGCACTAGAGGTTAGAAAAACTCAGTCCAGGTCACCTAGCAATTACAACTAAAAAATGAAGTAATTCAACCATTGTGTAAGGCACAAGTTTATTTAGCATTATTCTTAGATACTCTTAACCCAAAGGCAGACTAAGCTATCATCAGGTTGCAGAAGTCTTAACCAGTTAGGTAGAGCTCAAACAAAAATGCGTATAGGATATCTACCCTCAACAAGCTTAACTGAATAGCTGTTGATTTATATCTCCTTACCCTCATTGAATTCCCGGCTCAGCTCATGGTTTGGGCATCGTTTCACCACCTCAGTGACATGCTCCGCTTTCTTGTAGACAGGCATGGCACGGATAACAGCACCCTGAGGAGGCGAAGTCATCACCTTGATCTGGATGGGGCACGTCTTTGCAATCTGGCAGTACAGTTTCTTCAGTTCTGTGGAATACTGCTTAGAGATGAGGTTGGTGGAGGAGAAAAGGAGAGAACCAACAGGAAATACCATTACGTTCCAAGTCAGAACAATGAAAATAGGTCTACTATTTATAGTCTTCATAGCTGCATGTTTCCCATTGGCTGCCGCACGTGTGACATATGGTAATGTTATTACAGGAAGTTACATTCCTTAATCAAATTAGTCGTTTTAAATTTTAAATAGAAGCCTATGTTTACTAAAGGTCATACATTTATCAAGACACATTATGCCATTATTTCCTTTATCTTCTCTTTAGGATGAAGAAACTGAGGATCTGAAAGGTTTTAATGATGACTATCATGAGAAGCTTCATAGAAACTGAGTGGGAAAATGAACTTGTTATATACTGAGTGATGATAAACAGCAAACCATAAAGAAAGCTTCCTGCTTAGCAGATTATAATTAATCCCGACCTCAAAATACTTGAGGGAGACTCTTAAGAATTAGCGTTCATGGAGTTTTTTTAAAGATGGAATATCTAGCAGAGTAAAGACATTTTACATGAGGTCAACATGCTAGAAAATGACAAAGAAAGAATTCCTCTGAAGACAGTACTTATCTGCTAATGTCATAGTGTAAGACAATGAATGAAAGGAAGCCAGTTGGTCCTAACCTCCCCTACATGACAGGCCTAATGTACCATATAGCTGATCATGGAATCTAAAGGATCCAGCTGCAGATCTTTTCACTCACATATGGGTGAAACTCCCTTCTTACTCTTCCTTCTTCAGTGTGGTGATAATTGGTGGCAGAATTGGCAAAATAAGGTAGAGAAGGCATGCAATTTGGTATCAGATCGAAAAAAAAAAGGTCCTATTCTGTGTTGCTTCCCCTTCCCATCTCTGAATCAGAACAGAATGTCTGCATTCTAATCCTTACACTGTGTTAAACCGGATCACTCCCTACCCCCTTTCATTGGATCGATGCCCCATCACTCTATTCCTACTCTGATGCTGAGGTGAAACCATCCAGGTTCTAGACTTGTCGAGCAAGAGTAGGGCACCTAGTAGCTGTATACAAACACACACACACACACACACACACACACACATGGGTTACACTCACAAATCACAAGCTGGCAGCTGGAGGAGTCAGAGCAGCAAGAAGACTCATTATTGATATGTTCCATCCCAACTCTCACTAAAGGCAAATATTCCACCAAAAAGCATATATCAAATCATTGCTTTAAGTCTTTTGAAATTAAGTATTTATTTATATAATATTTTTTTCTTCCAAGTTTTTCAGTATATAAAATGTTCAGTTAACAATTTTCCAATGTCAAAAGGGGATTGCAAAATAAGTCTGCCATGCCCACAGGCCAAGGATTAGACACAGCAGAAGGGTTTTATGTAGCTTGAAGAAACAGGAAACGTGCCAAAAATCAACCACAAAACTAAAATTTTTCTTGGGAAATATTGAATGAAATCTAGGTGGACAGTTTTGCTTTTGTGTTTTCACCTATGACTTTACAAACACATTGTTTTGTACATCTTGAGAGCTCAAAGAAAATAGGAATATCCATTGTGTTTCAGTTAGAAAATATATAGTACATAATCTAAACATGAGTTTCATAAGACGAACTTTAAAAAAGACGACTGAAAAAGAAGTCTGTCAGCTAACACCTGAAGGCAAGAAAGGCATCTTTCCAAGTATGTAAAGATTGCGAGGAGAAAAAAAAAAGAAAAGGAGAGATAAGTTTCAGAGTAGGACAGTTTCTTAGGAGAAACATTCCATGTCAATAATTGATATACTATAAATCAAGCTTGACAGACTAAGATATAAAAGTCCTAAGACACAGGCATCATTACTACTAATCCTCACTCATTCTCAGGGATGGGGTGAGAAATCTAATTTCTGAGTTTAAGTAGCTTCATCATTTACTGAGTTAAGCTGTAAGAAATTTCATTTTCACATAACCCTAAGAGAAAGGTATTACAGGTAGACAGCCTGTTATCTGAGATCCCTGGGGCCAGAAGCTTCAGAATCCACAACTGTTTAGAGTTTAGAAAGAGAGCAAAGTTCATAGAGCATATACTATAAACACCTCCAGCAGGATTCAGGGAAGACCCACCACCAATCATGAACATTTTTTGCAGAATTCATGAATATTCAGAATCACTGGGAAACAACTATAAAGTCTCATATTTCAGGCTGGGTTTCACAGCCAAATGTGTTTAGCACAAATTTGGGAAATCAAAACAAACCCCCCCTTTGGTTTTCAGAGCTCTTTGAATTTCAAAATTGCAGATAATAGATAATGGACCTGAATTATCCCCATTTTATAGATAAGATAATTAAAGCACTGAGAGGTCCTGCCTGAGGTCACACCGAAGAGCAGCTCTGCAACCAGTTAGTGGCCTCGTCCTGGGACAACAATTCTGCACTCTCCATTCTCTTAGTTGGGCAATGCGAAGCTTTGTACTTAGATTTTTCTAATTTCACTGTGGCTCTTTTCTGAATCAATTTAGAATATATACAATCTTTTCTAACTTTAAAATGGAGCTCAAAAATAGTTTTTGTAACAACAGCAGTTTTTTCTTATTTCTCAGTATAATGTTTATTCATTTCATGGCAGGGAGAGGCAGCAAATTACAGAGATGAAAACCCCTGAGCCAGGAGCAAGCTAGCCTGCCCTCGGGTGCCAGCTATCTGTCAATACTGCCACTGTGGCTCTGGGGAATTCAAGAATATGGCCCTGTTCCTTAAGATAGTATATTGAGGACTTTAGAAGGCCTTTTGTATTCTGGTTCTGTTTCCCATCTCTGTGCACCAACTACCCGCACTTCACATTCCGTGTTCCACCCATATGAACTTTTACATGCCAAATTGTCCAAAACACCATACATTGGTCACGCACAATTCAGACATGCTATTCCCCACCTGGAACACTCCTGTTTCTCTGCCACTCTACACAATGCCAGAGCAATGTAGATATCTTCCCAGTGAAAACTGTATCTGGTATGTAGACCAGATTTTGCAGTTTTGGTGATGAGGGTTTCATGTTTGACTACATCAAAATATCTGACCAGTGCCAATATACATTAAATTTACTGCTTCTGGTTAAACTCCCAGGCCTGCCATTCAGTAATTAGAGAGACTAAAGATGTCTGGAAGGATAGGTTCCTTACAAGCTCAACTCTCTGTGACTTGCTTTATTGTTTGCAAATCAGTGCTGCGATGATGTTTAGTATTTTGTTCAGTACTGAATTCAGTCTCTCTGACCTACAGTGCACTAATAATTCCTTACACTTGCCAACTCGCCTTTTCCCTTACCCATCAGCCTTTCTCTTCAGCTCCCCTTTTCTCGGCCTCCAGAAGATCACAAAGAATTTATGCCAAGGTTTTTAAACACCCTAAGTCAGGAGAGGCTGCAAATTTGAACACATGTCTTCTTTAAAGGTCTTTCTTTCATTCTGAGATTTCTGAAATTCACTTTTAAATTGGTTCTCAACATTGACTTAGGATTCTTTAATTTTGGGGCCAAATTCTTTTTTGTCTTTTACGTGTGCTTTTCAGAGAGAAACAGAGAGGGAAAGTAAGAAAGAACCCCATACTCATACAATCCTTTCCCCTCCATTTCTTTCTCCTCTCAGGATTCTGAGCATGCATAGAAGCACATGTATCCAGCATTTTTCTCAAGCCAATGGGGTCAGGACTCACACCACATGGTCACCCATGTGGATTCTGGCTGCCTTAATCAGCAGGCCATGGAGCTGGCTCAGAATACATCAACTTTTAAGGGTAAAGTTTATGACACACGTACACAGTTGCCTAACCACTACCATGATACAGATATAGACTACTTCACATGCACACATATGCACGCACAGATTATTTTTTTTTACCCTTTTGCAGCTAATCCCCTCCCTCACCACTGATCCCAGGCAATCACGTACCCATTTTCTCTTACATTAGTTTTAGCTTTCCAGAACGTTATATAAATGGAATAATATAATCTTATGTGACATTGCTTTGTAGAATCATCATTGTTTTTACATTTGTCAGCACCCCATTTCATATTTGAGTACAATTTCATTATTTATGAATGTACCAATTATTTTCTGTTATTCTCTATTATAACTAGAGCTACTATGAACCCTCATTGTGCATCTTCATGAGGATATGTTTTAATTTTTTGAATTAATACCTAGGAGGGTTATTATTAAATGTAGACAACTTTCTAAGAAGCTGCTGAACTATGTTGCAAAGAGACTGTGCCATTTCACACTGCCGTCCACAACACACAAGGGCTTTGCATTCTTGCCAGCACTTGGTATTATCAATTCTTAATAATTCATGCCATTTGGGCATGTATGTAGCATATTTTCATACTATTTTTATGTACTTATTTGGAATTCTTTTTAAAGTGTTTATTCAAATTGTACTTTTAAAGTATTTTTAATTGGGCTTCTTATATTCTTAGTTTAAGTTAGAAGAGTATTCTGGATACATTCCTTTAACAAATATAATTTTTAAATATCTTTTATTCCTGTCCACGGTTTGCCTTTTAACATGTTTTTATGTCATTTCCTAAAACAATAAATTGTGAGGAATTATTAAGATTTTGCCTTTAAGGCTCTTGCTTTTTGTATTCTATGATATCTTGGCCTAACCCAATCTTCAAAGGATTTTGTTTTCTTCAAGAAGGTTTAGAGTCTTAGCTCTTATTTTTAGGACTATATATATTTTTCAATTATTTGTAATACATGGTGTAGTAATGGTCAAAATTTTCTTCCTTTTAGCAGATATCCAATTGTTCCAGCACCACTTGCTGAAAATAATATTGGAATCTTTTCTTGGTATCTGTTTTTGAACATGGAAATTGTCCATCTGTGCTCAGAGGTTTATCAGGATTCTTTCTTCTTTTTGATTGATCTATATGCCCATCATATCAATTTCAAATTATCTGGAATATTCTAACTTTATAGCAAGCCTTGAAATGAGGGTAATCTGACTCTCAATTTCATTATTTT